TAGTGTACTGTAAGATTGTGTAACTATGCTATACTGTAGTGTACTGTGCGATACTGCACTATACACAACTATACTATGCTATACTAGTACTAGTACTAGTATGATTTAAAATGTATTTTTACATGGGTTCTTCTCCAGTAAGCCTTGACCTTAATACATATGGCAAAGTGCATTCAGTCACGTCTCAGGCACCATAAGCCCAGAAACTGCAACAGCTGCGAGCGAAATGTGAATGTCCTGCTCCCTCAGCTGTGCTCCTCATGCCTGCACGACTGGTCACTGACATCCATCTTTGTAACTGCAGACGGCCTCCGCTGTGGTCGCTGAAACAAATATTGCTCAGAGCATAAAACAATAATGTCAGACAGTGAAACTGAACATCCAGTGCAGCCAGTGAACCTGGTCTTTTGTGTGAATGATAACTTTCAATGTCACATGCACTGTGCACAGTGGGAAGAAGCAGCAGCATCAGCAGGAAAACAGCACTCTGCAGTTTCCTCTTTGTTCCAAGGGGAGGAAGTCATGTCTGTGACCGAGGATCAGCGCCGCACTGTGAGCCATCGAGCCACTAGATATCAAAGGCAATGAACCACTAAATTATACGAGTCTCTCGCTCGGAACAATGTGTGTGTGTTCCCTGTGAATGTCTGTGCAATCGCACGTGACACTGTATATGTGTTTGTTTGTGTGGCCTTTAATGTTCTTGCTCCAGGCCTGATTAACATTTTTCTTACAGTCAGTAAGCAAAGGGGGTGGGGGGGGGGTTCAGAGGGGGAAGCTCAATGTGTTGGGATAGGCTCTGAGAGCACGACTCGCAGTTCTGTCCCTGTCTGCAACTACACCACTCCTTTCATCACGACAATTTACATGCATGAACAAAAGGCGAGCGGCTCACTATGAGAACAAAGTGCCACGCTGCATGAAAGCCTCAGCCAGGCCTTGATGTTTGGTGGGGACAAGCTTTATGTTGGGCTTTGATTATAGTCCAGGAACAATGGGGAGTATTTCTGTGGTCGTCTTTGGTCAAATAAACTCAGTCTTTCCAAAAAGAATCTTAAATGTATGATTAAGGTCTGACATTTTATTAAGCAGGACATTTTATTAATAGCACAGTCTCATGTCTAAAGGTCTATTAATTTCCAGGATGAAAACAATGTAATTAACTAAATAATAATAATAACAAAAAGTATTAATGCAAACTTGACTTAAAACGTGCTGAAAAACAGTAAACAAAACAAAAATAGAAAACTTGCAAGAAAGTGTGTTGTACCACCAGCCCTCAAAAAGCATCATCATCATTTAGTGATAGAGACAGTAATTAAAAACAATCAATATTTTGTGTTAACAACTAATTATTAAATGTATCAAGTGTCTTAATGCCTAGATTGACCTGACAGAGGGCCATAGCTTGAAGGTCTTGATACTAGATTTCTATCTAGTATGATAGCATAATATCTCTAGGATGGATTGCCATGACATTTAGTGGAATTCATGGCTCCCAGAGGATGAATCCTACTGACTTTATTGTATTTGGCTTAATAGCTACTATTATGTTTTTAGTGAAATATCTCAACAACCATTGGATGGATTGACCTAAAACATGGTACACTGTGAGGTTGTCATTTGTAGCCTTGAGTGAAATGTTTCAACATCTGGTCTCCAACGGATAAATCCTTATGACTTTGATGATCTCCCAAATTTGTTTCATCTATCGCCTATTTGTGTAATACTGAGGTTTCTGACCAAACGCCTGCAAAACTAATGACAGTCCCATCAGCCTAAGCTGAGCAAACATTAGCATGTTAGCTCAACGTTAAACATGGTAGGCATTAGCATGTTAGCTCAGTCATTGTGCACATGGTAGCATTTGTCTCAAATTTGAGTTAGCACTTAAGCAAAGCTCCCACACAGCTGCTAAGGATTTATTGACACTTCTTTAAGACAGAGCATTAAGATTATGTTATACAGCCGGACTTTCTAGGTCATATTTAAGTGGTGCATAAAATAAATCAATATACACTCTTAGAGACGTACATACTTACTTTTAGTAAATCAGCAGGGTAACAGGTGAAGTGGT